ATGAAGGTCAAAGAAGCTTTGGAATGATCCTAAGAGTTGATAAGATTTGGTGTAAGCCATGTCCAAAAGCTTAAATTTTGCTATCTGAGAACTTCATGATTTCACACATTGATAAAAAGGCATTTTTGACGAACTGAGGCGTTCAGTTCTCATCTCCTGTTAGATTCTTCACCTTTTCTGTTTTCATCTATATGGTTTTTTTCATATGTTTTCCTCCGCTTTTGGTCTTAGTAGAATGCAACCGTGACTGTTCAGTAGGTCCATTAGTTACATGTATACAGTTTCCATTGGAAAGAAACATAGTAACTCAGTGAAGATGTATTGAGTAACAAATAATAGGTATGATATTTTTCAAAAAGATAAAAGAATATCTGAATTGGATAACAAATATAAATGGAATACTTCAGGTATGATGACCTACAATTATGTGGTGAGTAAATCTATCCAAATAGGAAATCTATGTTTAACAAGTCCATCTGCTGACAAGCTGATTCATCGTACAATGCAGTATGATACTGGATTGGCAAAGATAAAAAAAAGATGATCGTAACGAATCAGTTTGTTGTACCGCATAATAAGCGCATTCTCTCTCAATATTCAGTGAGCATATACTTCATATTCTGTTAAGTGGATGAGAATAAATGTGATAAAAAGGCGAGTAAATTGTTTAAATTTACTTCTTATTTCGCTGGTTATGCCTATTTGTGCAATTTTCAATAGGACATTAGAATGACGTAAACATTAGACAGCCGTTTGCATTATTCCACGTCAACTTCATTCACTTTCCACCCGGTGTTATTTTACTTGAAACTATTTAAATATGATTAGATAGATGACGTGAAGATATCAATTAATTATGCGCTATAGTGTAGTAACATACTGTTAAAAATTACAATGTGTAGTGTATTTTCAAAACAATCTCTATTAGGAGCGTAACTAAACTGATGGACAACTAGCAATGTTGTCACAGGACACGCAAAATACTAAGTGTTCCTAGATTGCTCAGTTCTGGTTAGTTGAATCACCTTGAACAGACTCACTCATAGTGAAATGTGACTTACGTCAAGAATATTTATTTTGTCTTTTAAAGAAAGAAAATGCAGTGAACAATGTGTTGAATGTGTTCCCAGCGTTTTTATACGTCTTGTCATCAGCTGATAATGTCATCATGGCGACAAAACTATCTCCTTATATTATCATTTATTCTGTTACTTAATACAAACGGAACAAGAAAATGTGGCTGAAAAGCTGATGTTCAAGAAGATAACTTCCTTCAGGATAGAGAAAATATACTATGATTTCTGATGGAACCGAGGTTTGACAGCTATCATCGAAAGGCAGACTACTAACTGACTGACTAAGCAACCGCCTGACTGACTGATTGACTCACTTACTCACTCATTCACTCACTCACCATATAACTCAAAAACTGGACGAACTTAGAACCTCGGGCAGTAATTGACCCACTAATATTGTCAATTATCAAAAAAGAACGGTATAGTTAAAGACAATTAGTTAAAAGGAGAAAGTCAATCCAAGTCAGAATAATAGGTCTAAGCTGAAGTAGATTCACTGGAATAACCGATTTCTCGAATCCAACAAGTGATAGGCGTATCTATAATGTCATCATTTCCGACTAAATTCTTTCAGCTTTGGCATTGGGTTGGATTCAACTTTCACTTATGAATAACCAACTAGGAAGTGTGTCCCAGTCTATTTTGTGGATTCATTAGATGGATATACCTGCTTCTTCTTGGGTGATGACGAACGCAATGACCCTTGAACTTGGCACCCATCGCTTCCAGACTATTGATTAACGCTGGACACCTCTTGTACACCAGACATTAGTTGTTATATACTGATATGTGTAATTTTCCTTTGGTTATTTTACTGAACCGAATCTATTTTAACTATTGGCCAGTACAAAACAGAAATTATATTACATTTAGGTAGTATTCAGGTATTATTTATGCTGATAGAGAACTATCATTTCAGTCGAGCGTGATAATCAGTAGGAAATTAGAAGTATCAATAAATAAATAACCCTTCGATACAGGTTGTAACCTACTTTTTCTTAATTGGTAGCTAGCAGTGGGATGCATGATAAATATTTTGTCTCATTTGAAACACTTCAGCAAGGCATAAATCTAGAGTTCAGTAGATGATTAGGTTGACAAAGAAACTTGGATCCAGCCTTGAACATAGTAGCGAACTCGACTGCATTACCAAGAGCTAAATCTTGTTCAACTAGTATTGCTTCATGTTTAGACTTTGTAATTCCCCGTCCTTCAATTGACTTGACGAAAAGCATAAACTTTTGTCTTTTGATTTCGTTCATTTTTTGGACTGAAGATATCAAACAGTATCAGTTTGTGTCATTTAGTTGGATGAGATCGGCAGGACGCCATGGATCTAAAAATCGAGCCTGTTGGAACTTATCCATCCAACTGACATCCATCAAAGTACACCACGGTGTTGAGCCTCCTAGTTTGTTGGCCACATTACAAAACCATCAGTGGAATTCGGTCGGGACTATGGACTAGATAACAAAAAATTGATTCCTTTTCAGAAACCAGTTAATATATCTTTCGGTTTACTTACTTTCTGAATAAATGCTCCAGTAATACAGTGACACATATATAGATCAGCAGACAGGAAGAGGAAAACCACAAACAACCTCATGCTAAAGTGAATGAGTTCAAGTTAGCAAAGCTCACAATAGTGTGAAAAGTGTGAGTCGAAAGATGTTGGAAAGACCTGAAGGTTATCCAAGAGGAGATGATGAGATGTCAAAGCACCAAAAAAGGAAGAAAAGTGGCTGCATCTACGTTGCTGTCATTCAGTCCTCTTACAGTTTGATAACTTTCAGAGGAATGTTTGAAAGAAGTCTGAATTCCTTTACCATCAGTAAATCCATAATTTCTTTCAATGACTTGGCATAATCATAGTCAGTATTTTAACAAACTAATTCTGCTTGAATCATCATAGAATTCTGGAACAGTCAATGACTTGTGCAGCTGATGAATCGCAACCATCTTAGATTTAAATCCCAAGTTGTTTGTCGACACATTATCGATCCTTGGCATGCACTGATGATAGAATACTTCAAGTTCCCTCCTATTTTCCGTTTTCACTGACTATGTCACACGGCTGTTAAGTAAAAGAAAGAGAGTGGTGCTGTAAGTTGGATTCTGATATCTTTTCTCTTGTTGATTGTTGATAGCTGAATCCAAGATGTTGTAGAACGCAGTTACACCCAGTTTATGAGCTTTATTTCGGATGAAATTCCCTTTTTGAATTCATTTAATCACTAGAAAACAAAGTATGAATATATCGAGGGCAACTTCTGTACACATATGAGTTAGTGGGTAGATGGTGATGCTTTTAGTCTCGAGTGCTATCTGTTGGACGTAGATTGTGCTGTGATCATAAAGATGAGTGAAAGCATCACAAAAGAATAAAACCTTTATCTTGAAACTTTTCACTTTTGAATATATTGCCATTTCTATAAGAGAGAGATGAAGAAGAAATCTAATTACCAAAGAAGAGAAATAAAGGAAACGATAGGCTGACCACTTCAAAAAACTCTTGAATCGACCACCACCACTTGCACTCCTTCCACAAATACCACCTGCAGCCCAGCCACAGAACTACAAGTGAACATAAATCCTCCAATAAAAGTCGAAGTCCTGAACGTCACCAGGCTACTGAAATGCGGGAAGGCAGCAGGACCAGATGGAATCCCGCCAGAAACAATGAGAACAGACTCAGAGACAACAGCTGACATGCTCATACCACTATTGCAGAAGGTCTGGAAGGAAGGGAAGGTACTTTGCAATTGATTGGAAGAAGGGTACCTTGTCAAACTCCCGAAGAAAGGAGACCTCAGTGTTTGCAAGAACTGGAGCGGAATCATACTCCTGTCCACCCAGGGCAAGCAAAATATTGTGTCACATCATCTTGGAGAGACTATAGGATGCACTGGATTCAAAACTACGACCAGAACAGGGTGGCTTCAGGAAGTATGAATCATGTATGGACCAAACTGCAACGTTACGCTACGCATCATCATAGAACAGAGTATAGAATGGCAGTCAACTCTACACCTCAACTTCATCTACTTTGAGAAGGCCTTTGACAGCGTCAACCGAGAAGTAATTTGTCAGTTGCTTCAACACTACGGAATTCCACAAACCTTTATCAACCTAATTCAACAACTATATGAAGACGCCACATGCCAAGTAATTCACAATGAGAAGCTTATTGATGCTTTTGAATTGGAGACAGGAGTAAAACAAGGCTGCCTACTATCACCCATGATATTCCTGATTGTAGTGGACTGGATGACGCAATATACAGTCAAGAGCGAGAAGAGGGGGATACAATGGCTGGGAAGCGGAAAAAAACCTAGAAGACTTGGATTTCACCACCGATGACTTATGTCTAATGTCACACAAACTTGAAGATCTACAGGTGAAAACTAACAAGTTGACAGAAGAGGCAAGGCAGTGAAGACGGGATCTCAAGTTAAAGTGGGAAAGACAGAGGTGATGAAGATACCCAACCAGCAACAACAGCAACAACAAGCTGCAATCACCATCAACAAGAGAAACCTAAATGAAGTAGTCTGCTTCACCTATCTAGGTAGCACTGTTTCAACTACAGGCGCCACAGGCACAGACGAGGACGTCAAAGCCAGCCAGGATCAGAAAGACAGCAAGACAGGCATTCATTAGCCTGAAACCAGTGTGGAGATCTTCTAGACTCAGCATAAGGCGTGAATAACATCCGGATTTTCAACACTTATGTTAGTCAAGTCAGTGCTTCTATACGGTTCAGAAACTTGGCGCTTAACGAAAGGGATTTCCAACAAACTACAGACATTCATCAACAACTGCCTACGCTGGCTCGTTACTGAACTTCAGATGGCCAGAAAGAATAAACAACAAGGAACTCTGGCTGGCTGACTGGCTGGCAAGAAAGCAACCAAGAACCTATCACCCAACAAATATGCAGAAGGAAGTGGAGATGGATTGAGCATACACTGAGAAGGCCGACTGGGGACATCACGCGTCAGGCCAGGGACTCGAGTGGAAGCCAGATGGGAAACGACTAGTTGGGCGTCCCAGCTGAGGGTGACATGGAGGAGATCATGCGAAGAGGAAATGAGATCTTGTGGGCTGTCATGGAGTTGGGTTCAAAAGTTTGCGGAGAACAGAGTAGATTGGAAACGTGCTACTGAAGCCCTATGTTCCACTAGGAACCCCAGGGACAAATAATAAATAATAATAATCTGTAAGAGAGAAAGCAACTTTTTGGCTGAGAATTTCAAAAGTGCACGATTAGTTTCTGCCATGCTGAATACCAATATTGATCAAATACATTCACCACTGAAATTGGCACGACATCATCTAAAGTTTATATATATATATATATATATATATATATATATATATATATATATATATATATATATATATATATATATATATATATATATATATATATATATATATATATTCAACAGACACTTCACTGACATGGGAATCTATATCAACCTGAATAGGGATTACTTGCTCATGAAATGTGATTGTGAACATGAAAGGTTCGTTTGGTGTTTGTCAACCGTGGTTAATATTGACATCAAAAGGATATTCAATTACATATCAAAGACCGAGTAGTCTCGACTTGTTTTACTGTACACCTATGAGACATAAGTCATTGAAAGTACAAGAGGTGAGGAAGTTTTAGGTTTTTGATCAAGGATTTCTTGGTAGCGTTACTGGCATGTGTTGTATCCCGCGATGTCAAGGTTGGGTTTAGAGTACTAGGCAATGTAGGTGAGTCAGTCAACCAATTTTTGAGCCTCCATCAACTGAGATGGCTTAGACACCTAGTACACATGCCAGACCATCGCCTAACTGAACAGATAATTTTAGCTGAAGCATGATTTGATCCAAAGAAGCCAATGGTGGTCTGATCAAGAATTGACAATAGCCCCTGAAGTCCTCGACTGTTTATCTGAGCTACGTAGGGATATCTAGTCTACCTTATTGTGTTCCTAGAGAAGATAAGAGATTCCTTGTGACGCAGTTGAAAATTGGTCACAATGGTGGAGATGTACGGAGTCTTTTACTTCTTGGAATTCCTAAGTATGCTTTCACCAACTCATACTTATTTCTTGCCTCTTTTTTCATACCGTTTGGTCTACTTTAATGGTATTCGTTATCTGTTCACTTCCTGTTTGTAAGCTGCTGTGAAGTCGGACTACTTGGACTGGTAGCCGGGTTGCTTACTGAATTGTCTGTTAGTCTATTTATCTCCCAACTCTCTGCAAAATAATAAGTTTACTACAGGTTGTAGAATAGTAGAAGTGATGGATTTATTTCAAGAAATAAATTCTATTCGAGTTTTGTAGTGATTGACTTAAAATACTTACCAGTGAACAAAATAGTTGCAGGAAATGAGACTTTTGAATTATGAATTGACTTTTATCAAGTTGAACTTGACACTTTTTTGTTCAGCTACTCGGAGATGCTAGATACTCACAGGTTTTCAAGGTTACTTAGATAAAATCAATTGGTGACCAAAATTCTCTTTGAAACAAGTTTTTAAATGCCTAGTTATCCAGCTCATAAAGTAACTGTTCTTGAAGTGGTCATTCGTGTCATGTCTCTGTTTTCCTGCCATAATCTTGATTACAATTGCATAGAACCCTTTTCACTCGTTCATTAGTCTCTATGATGTTTAGGTGTAATTCAATCAATATTGTTTTTGACATACTTTTAAAAAGTATGTTGACCAGAATATTGAAACAAACTGATCAATGGTGTAAAATAAAACTATGTAAACATTTATTGAGTAGTGAAGAGAGAGAGAGAGAGAGAAAAAAAAAGAAAGTTTTATTAGCTTAAAATATGGAAAGTGTTCTCATGTACGCTTTTTATGATCCATTTTACTGATTACAATGTGATTGTTAAATCGCTTCATTGAAGCTAAATTTAGCTTAAAACTGGCAACTAGTCAATAAGTATGACAGCGATCTACTAGGGACCACGTGTGATGAAAAGTTTCCGGAGACGGAGAACTCTTGTAATAGGATAGTGTTGGTATTATGAAAGTAAACTCACACTCGCTAGGTGAAGTACTCGAGAAGCTGACTCAGAGATCGGGTATGTGTGTTACGTTTTAAACTATGAGTCATACTGTCTGTACAGTTTTAAAGTAATAGCCAGCTATTCTGACTGAAGTAGGAAGGGAAGGTTAGGAGCCCTTGGATTGGACATATATTGAGAAGACTATTCGGAGAAATCACGTCCCAGTCCAGGCTCTCCAGTGAAATCCAAATCGGAAACGACGATTTGCACATCCAGGTTGAGGGTGACATGGAGGAGATGGTGTGAGGAAGAAATGAAAGGTTTTGGACAGTTCTGGAGCCAGGTTGAAAAGACTTCAGAGAAGAGAGTGAAATTGTGAGGTGCTAATGAAGCCGTATGTTCCACCAGGAGCGCAAGGGACAACTATAATCATATTAATTGTGCCAAGGTGGTTACATAACTTTCTTGTTCATTTTATTTAGTTGTATTACGCTACATACTTTGATTTAAATGACAGTGGATTTGGTCAAATATCCGGGATTTATATTTACAATTTTTCAAGTATTTTACCATCTTATTTGAGATCAGGACATTATTTTTGTTAATCGAATCAAAATGCATAACATGTAGTAAAAACGATGCAATTACTATTCCGGAGGTGTAGGATTTTTTCCTAACTACAAAAAACAAAGTACACAAGGTGATAAGACTATAAAAATCAAGTTTCTGAAGTTGTATGAGATTACTTCAATATGTGCTTAAAACATCATTACGTAAATAATACTGTATCAGTGTGTGGCTGTGTCAAATAAACACTTTTGATATAGAGTAAACATTCTACCATAGTGGGCGATAAAAAAGTGTGAGATGCATTTACCGAGACTGTAGGCTGCTTGTTAGACTGTGTGAGTTAACTAGTAGCATTTCGTTTTGCTTGCAGACAATCAGTAATAGACAATATATGAGACTAGCGCTTCTCCAGATATCTAATTCTAAGTGATGTAGGGATTCAGTTGGGTAATTTACCACCAGGTAAAAAATAATATTCCTAAGTCCTATTTTAGTTCTCATAAAACTCGATTTTCAGTATACTGATTTATTCAGTGAGTTCGTTTATTCTCTGACTTCTTCATGAAAAATGGCGTAACTGTATGACAATTCTCTTACCTTGACATAGTTTCGGTCTATTCGAAGTCAAGAACTTCAGTCTCTTTGCCAGTTTAGAAATATTACTCACCTATGCGCTGATATGATTTCTTCAATATCGTAGCACAATCGGGTGTATGATGAATGGAAGAGAATGAAAGGTGAATAATTCGAAATGTTTGTGTTAAGCAGGTAAAGGTCATAGGCAAAGCTAAAACGAAAAGCTTCAGTCAATCCTTCACCATATGACCTTACTTTTCATCAGCACGTTTATTCTGTCCAAGAGATCTCCAGTGGAAGGGATCACGTTTCCCCTCTCCTCAACCAGTTTCTTCTAGCATTAAATTATGGATGGTTTGATAGAATGTCTTAACCTGATTATACTAAAGTTATTTCAGCCATACTTAGATCCAGCAAGCATTGAACATCAAGATCAGGTATGGTGGTTATTAGTTGAAGTGTAGCGTATTTCCTTATCGCGATATAAATCAACATGACCTAGTTAACCTTTAGTGATTTACTTTATAGGATTATCGTTGTTCTTGGTTTATCCAATATTTAGTGTCGTTAAAATAGAAAAAGAATATATGGCGAAAGCAGAGGCAACAGCTCAACTTCAAGAAGAAATCGATGGGATGCTTGAGAAAATAGAGAATTTGAATTCATCAAGCAAGTATGCAACAAGTAGCTGTGATTTGACACATTTTATTTGAAACCTGTTGACATTTTAATCATGAGATTAAATAGGAGGTTTTCGATCCTCAATAATTAGTCCATGTAAATTTAGTCGGTGTTAAGCAAAACCAGAGGCGAGTACCTTCCAGTACCCACTGTCTTGTGTATTCGTTTTGAAGTTAGTTACATACTTCTGGCACCATGTTGTCCTATGCTAATCTCTGTGTTTTTTATCCAAGACAATAGGCCATGACATGTCTTGAGACTTTCGTGAATAGTTTGGAGAGTTCAATCTATAGGAATGCAAGAAATTATGTGCAGAGGTAAACAGGTCAATCAGTAATAATAATAATAATTCACTTTATTCCAAACAATTTGTGGTACAATTTGGAATTCTCAGCGTTATATATATTGCAATAACAAAATATAAGTATATACATACTACTTTGCAGCCATTCGAATTGTTTTATTATAAAAATTTAAGTTATGTCAAGAATATTAAAAACGAGAAAATTTTGCATTGTAAGTTAAATTATTGGAATGAGATTTTTAATTGTCACAAAGTTGTGTGATTTCTGTTCTAACACTTTTTTCCTCACAAAATATGTGTGCAAGGTAAGGTACAGTCGAATTCTTATACTTAGCTGTATGAGCATACAGTCTTATGTAGTTTCTCCTTGTCCTCCCTGAGGAGATACATGGAGAGAGCTGTAAATGAAGTGGATGCTCACTGTCAGTTAAAATTTCTGTAGCTAGTAGCTTGCAGGAATCTATATGTCGATCAACCACAGTGTTAATCAGTTGAGCCAGAGACACACCATTCACCCTGCTGACGGTCTTCAAAGCCCTACGCAACATAACACAGTCCTTTTTAAGAAGACCAGGAAAGATTAATGGGGAACAATATAGAAGAATAGGTAAAATGCAGGAATTAATAAATTGTAAAAGAAGTAGTTGAGTTATACCAGAAAACCTCAATTTCTTTAGGTAATAAGTTAAACGGAAGATTTTTTTACAGGTCAATAAAATATGGGACGACCAACAAAGGTCAGAAGTAAAACGCAACCCAAGATAGTTCAAACTCGATTTACTTTCTTCAGAAATACCATTGATGCAGCAGGCGTCATGAGATTTAAGCAGCTCACATAAGTCTTGTTTACGCCTGAGGCTAAAATTAACAGTCTGACATTTAGAGGGATTTAGTTTGAGACTATTGACCAACTTCGGACAAGAATTCATTTAATTTCGGGCAATCCAAAGAAGAGTTTACTGGAATAGAAATCGTCAGGTCGTCAGCATACTTGATAAAATTAGTTTCAACAGAATAAGGCAAATCGTGCAAAAGAAGGAAAACAGAAAAGGAGAAAGTACAGCACCTTGAGGCACACCAGCTTCAGTAAGCAATGAAGTCGAGCGCATTCCTTTATGAATAGTGTACTGTTTCCTTTCAGAAAAATAAGAATGCAGCCATTTTATAACCCATGAATCAGTGTGAGCTATGGTAAGCTTATTTAACAAAAGTGGTCTAGGAACAGAGTCAAAGGCTGACGAGTAATCTAAAAAGGCACAACGGACATACTTAACACCTTTGTCGAGACTAGAAACAATATTTTGATGCAAGACAGTAGCTGCATCTAAAGTACTCCTCCGGTGTTTGTAAGCAAACTGTTTTGGATCTCTGAAGGCCATCAATGAAGGCTCAATCACAAGCAGAAGTAATTTCTCCATTGTCTTCAGAAAAGGGGAAGTTATAGCGATAGATCGAAAAGTAACATCTGATCCAGAAGATGGCTTAGGCACAGGTACAATTTTTATCTACTTCCAAGCAGTGGGTATTATGTTTTTAGAGGACGATACATTGAAGATATCTGTAAGTGGATGACATAAAAAATCTGCACATTTTCTAAATATGATGCTAGAAACACCATCAGGACCTAAGCTTTGGGAGGGACTCAAATCGAATCTAAACCTTAAGTTGCCACTTTGTTATGTTTCAACGTATTCCATTACTTTAACTTTCCGGTAGTGTTATTCGGGTATCAACATCGATGTCCCATTACCGCCCGTCATTTAATCATAAACACACAAAAGATGAAGTTATAATCGTAGAGTTTGGCGACAGATTACTGCACTATACTTTGTTTCGCATTAGTGTTGGAAATTAGTCGTCAAATGACATTTTATATTGGCCTTTACATATAGTTACTGCATGAAGTGATTTGTACAATAGGCTCGATAAAATTCTATGGCCGAAAAAGCTTGTCGCTCAATGAGTTTGCAGATTTAAGCAGCATTTTAACCCAGCCTTGTTGAGAATTTTACGTCAATCTTCTGATTCCCATTCTTTACATAGCCGGTGACACCTATGAAGGTTTTACAGTCTTCCTCCTAGTCGTTTCATCTGAAGATAGTGACAATTTGAAAAAGGCAGCCAAGAAATGTAGTCAGCAAGACTGATAAATGAAGCCAGTCGACAATTAACACGAGTATTACGAATGATCTAGGATGATGATTTAAAGTGGGATGAAAATCTGGGTCATGGAAGAATTTGAGGTAGCGGCCTCTGGGTTACAAGCCTGGTGTTCCACCGACTGAGATATGAAACCCAGTTGCTGATCCGGTCTGACCCGGTCAGCAAAGTTTTTATCCTGCTATCATATGCATCTGTTATGCGTAAGTGACCGTTTGTTGTAATCGCACTGACTGCTCAGTCAGCTCTCCTTATTCCAATCCCAAACGTGAAAGGCAACGTACTGTCATAGCTCAGCTGTTAGGGAACCGGCTTGGTGACTTAGAGGGCACCGGTTTGAATTCTGTGACAAGTCAGCTTCCCGCTTCCCTTTCAATCATCATCCGGTACCAATAATACCAGTCTAGCATACCACACCGATCCCAAATAGTCACATTGATAATAGGAATGATTCGGTATCAGCTACAGATATGTGGGACATTTTACCATGACTAAAGTCAAAGAAAGAAACTCAAACGGACTATAACCTTAAACTAGAAAGTTTTGAGATAATCACCTTAATAAACTGTGCTCCAAGCATTATCCAGTAAACAATAACTGTTTCATTGTGTGATACAAGTATCATTAGAGTGTTATATTTATTATTTTTCCCCATGGGTTCCTAGTGGAACATACGGCTTCATTAGCACCTCACAATTTCACTCTCTTCTCTGAAGTCTTTTCAACCTGGCTCCAGAACTGTCCAAAACCTTTCATTTCTTCCTCACACCATCTCCTCCATGTCACCCTCAACCTGGATGTGCAAATCGTCGTTTCCGATTTGGATTTCACTGGAGAGCCTGGACTGGACGTGATTTCTCCGAATAGTCTTCTCAATATATGCCCAATCCAATCTATCTCCACTTTCTCATGCATATTTTTTGGACGATGGGTTCTTGGTTGGTTCGTTGCCAGCCAGCCAGCCAGCCAGCCAGCCAGCCAGCCAGCCAGCCAGCCAGCCAGCCAGCCAGCCAGCCAGCCAGCCAGCCAGCCAGCCAGCCAGCCAGCCAGCCAGCCAGCCAGCCAGCCAGCCAGCCAGCCAGCCAGCCAGCCAGCCAGCCAGCCAGCCAGCCAGCCAGCCAGCCAGCCAGCCAGCCAGCCAGCCAGCCAGCCAGCCAGCCAGCCAGCCAGCCAGCCAGCCAGCCAGCCAGCCAGCCAGCCAGCCAGCCAGCCAGCCAGCCAGTCTGTTCCGGTCATAGATTTGAATCCAGTGCATTCTTTAGTCTCTCCACGCTGATTCCGTGCCAGTTCTTGTAAAGACTTCGGTCCCCTTCTTTGCAAGTTTCACCAGGTAACCCTTCTTCCAATCTGCAGGTATCTTTTCTTCCTCCCTTCCTTCCGTTCTTCATTCCTTCAAAACCTTCTGTAACAGTGATGTGAGCGTGTCCACTGTTGTCTCTGTGTCTGTTTTCAGTACTTCTGGAGGAATTCCGTCTGGTCCAGCTACTTTTCTGGGTTTCAGCAACTTTATGGAGTTCAGGAACTCACTTCTACCTTTGTTGGAGGGCTCATGTTCACTGTTAATTCTGTGTCTGGACTACTGGTGGTATTTCTGGACGAGTTGTAATTAGTGTTGTTGGTGGTCGATTCAAGAGTTTCCCGAAGTGGTCAGCTCATCATTTCCTTTGTTTCCCCTCTTTGGTGGCAACTAACTTTCCTTCACTATCTCCCATTGATTTCATCTGAGTTGATTGATCTCTTTCCAGACAGCAAGTAACCTGGTTATCTGATATGGTGTTGTCAGCTCTCTCTGTCTCTCCTACCAGTAGCCTGTTCTACTTCATTTGCAGATGTGTCGTAGAAGTGCCTTTGTTTTTCGGTCCACTCTACTTCCCTTCTTTGTCCAGTGTAGCGTTTTATACGTTGCACACAGTTCCTCTTTCGTTGTTCATCCATGCACTACACTGCAGTACGCGGTTCATCGTCTGCCTCACCATCTTCCTCTCCCTCTCCCTCCTCTATCAGCTACTATGTGTCCGTTGAGACGCATTCCTCGTCTTGCCTCTCCTTCTTCCTTCCTAATATGGTTATTCAGGTTTCTTTCCACATCCCTCTCAAAGACTTCCAGTGTTGTTCCACACAGGTTTCCTCCGTAGGGATGTTGCTCAATGTCTCCCATTTTTTCCAGATGGCCGACTGACTGACTGACTGACTGACGTGAAGATGTCCTTTGTAGTTCCTTCATTCAGTTCAGTTCCTGTTCTGGGTGTTCAACTTCAACTGTGACCCATCACCAGCTACTTCGAAGGCTTTCAACTTGATTTTGAAGGTAGGTCCCTTGCACTAGATATTGAGTAGTGTGAACCTATATCTCTTCCTCTTCTTGATCTCATCTTGTGTCCAGTAGGCTGGCTGTCTCTCCACTTTCTTCACATTGAGGTGAAGTCGATCTGATTCTTAGTGTGGTGTGTCCTGGTGTCTGGTGAAATCAAATCCATGTCGCTACCTTGTCAATATCTTTGTGTTTGTACACACTGCCTCACTCCAATCACCAAATCATTGAATGCTCAGAAGTCTGCAAACAGTCCTCCATTCGCATTCTTCATTTCATAGAGTGCTTCTTAGCCGATGCACAGTTCTCTTCCTGTGTTGTCCACTCCCAGTTTGACCGACATTCATGTCACCCCACCCCACCCCACCTCACCCCACCCCACCCCACCCTACCCAATAGAATGGATTTTGATGTCGTCATCGCCAACTGTGTTGGGGTCTTGTCCATTACTGATTTCAGTTGTCTGTAGAATTCCTCCTTATTCTCTTCATCTGCATTATTTGTAGGTGTGAAGCGTAGCATAGCTTAGCGTAGCATTGCATGGTAGTGACCTCCCTCCCTCCCTTCCTTCCTTCCTTCCTTCCTTCCCCCCTTACTTCATTCAAGTTGAGTCATCTTGCTGTCATGATGGTGATCGTGCAGGAGGAGATTGATTCTCACTGAATGAGAGGGAGAGAGAGAGAGACAGAGCCTTCGATGCTCTTCAAGAAGACATCATGTTAGCCACTCGAAAACTCAGTGTGGTGTCTTCGTCGTTGTCGTGTCATCTGTGTGACAATATCGGAGTAGATTATTGACTGTGTAGTTGACAGTTGAGAGAGTCCACTTCCATTGCATGTACAGATTCCTCTCAGATTCCTATCACTTCTATGCTATATCTTCTCACCTGTTTTGCAATCTGGACAGTCTTACTAGATTGATTGATGCATGATGCGGACATTGTATGCTTTCATGTTCACTTTTGCTTCCATTGAGAGAAGAGAAGACACATCGGCCAACAGTTGGCTTTCCGAAGGCTTTCACCAACTGGTGTCATTTCATGTCTCCAATTCCAGGGAGGAATAATTTCAATTTTATTTCTTATATTTTCTTCATGCTTTGAAGTTTTCTTACCGATTGAATTTGTTTTCCGTGGTACAGTTGCTATTCCTATCCACAACCTTCATTCTTTATCCGGGTTTAGGTCCGGTTAGCAACTAGTGAAGTTGTTATCTAGGTGAGGTTCTTCAGAGGGTTAGTGTATCTTAAAAGCTGAGTATTTGCTGTTCTTTTCACTGAGGAGTGTAAGCGACTTTCGCGTTCGCCATTACCCTCATTTTGGTTATTATGGAGTTAATATTGAAAAAGCTTCGCATTTTCATCGTCGTGTTGCATCACCGCTCACTGAACTGTTCAGTGTGCAGGATGTCAGTTGTTGTGTGTGTGTGCACGTATACTTGTACGTGAGTTAGTGAGTGGTGGTTAGAGTTAGTTAACTTGTCAGTTTTTCCCACTTCATCTGTTTCATTTCTTTACTTATGTTCAGAAGTTTAATCGACAACTTAAAACAACAAGCGGAAACTATGAAAACTCATCTGGCAGTTGAGCGAAAGGAAAGGTATTATATATTTTTAGAGATTTACCCGGGTTTATATACTTGTGTTTGTTTGCTTCATACATTTTAGGCAGAGGATTATGAATGTTGTATCGACTGCTTGTAGTAACGTGTAGTTTAATAAACTAATGAAAACATCTCGTGGATAGAAAAGACTAAATGATGATTATGTTTATAAGGTGACAACATTTAAAATTTTAACGAGTTGTGGTTATCCAACGTACGTCAACCTTGAAATTGTCACCTAATACTTCGAAATTGAGCATTCAGAACACCAAGTCACTACTGTGACGGAAATTTTATCAGACTGATAGAAATCCTTGTTCTCAGACAGTCAACCACATCTGGTATGTTAAAGCTTCTGATAATACTCATTTATTCAGAGAAATTTCAACGTTGTCAATATGAAGCCACAGCTGTTTGCCTTTTTCTTCCATAGAGTATAGGACGTTTTCTGCATCCCAGTAAGTGATGGAGTCCGAATAATAACTGAACACAACAAATGCTATTTCAAGTAAGAGATAATTATCCCCTAGGCTTTCGAGGTATGATATCCACTGTATTCATCATTAATATCAAAATGAAATTATTAACAATATTCAGAAGTTAGCGCAGAAGCCCTAATGCCAACAGTGGTCGATCAGTGCGATCTAAACAAAACCAACAATTAGAAACTATAAACCATAGTGTTAAATATTGAAGACTCACCTAGTGGCTAACTTCTCGTTTGTTATATGTAGTTTAGGATCTTCAAAGTTTATCCAACATTTTACCGATTTGTTACACATTTGTTAGTTTAATGTTCATACAATGCAGACCGTTGACGCTTTGATTAACCCAATTAGCAACATGATGAATACATTTTCTATGTCAACAAACATGTTAATTGTTAAAAAAAATGTGAAAATAAATAAATGTTTGAATTGTCAACTAGTCAGCTAGTTCGGTGAAACTAAGAGTTATCCTAGACGACGTTTCAAACATAAATTATTGCTCATAATCATATCAATGTAACCACACTACTTTCGGTATTTGATTTTTATAGTCCTATCACCTCTTATTCTTTGTTCATATTGGTAGCAAAATTCTCCATATCTCTGGTATAGGTAATGTTTCATTTCTGTTACATGTATTGAATGTTGATTAGATGAACGAAGATTCAGTAATCTCTCTCTCTCTGTCTCTACCTACCTACCTACCTACCTACCTACCTACCTACCTACCTACCTACCTACCTACCTACCTACCTACCTACCTACCTACCTACCTACCTACCTACCTACCTACCTACCTACCTACCTACCTACCTACCTACCTACCTACCTACCTACCTACTACCCAATGATATTAGACTTAAGTGTAGTGGTTTTATCCCACCGTACTGTAAGGTTGTGCGTTAATGCATGCATTGGAATAGTGGAGTGTTTTTTTAGATTCTTGATCTTATTGGGGATTTGTCATTCTATGTTTATCTAAATCCCTATGTTCGGTTATTCTAACTGACCCCGACCGGCTAGTCTGACCTACGTACTTGACCACATAGTGATTGCATTCCATTCCATTCCAATGCAATACAATACAGTGGGATAAAACCACTGTACTTAAGTTCAGTGTAATTAGATGGAGAGAGAAATTGATTAATGAATCTTTATTCATCGAATCTAAACCCAACAAATGTAATAGGAATGATGCAACACCTATACCAGAAGAGATACGGAAACTTTTACCACCAATAAAAGTAAAGAATATGAGATGACAGGAGTATGAAGATCAGATGTCGAAAGTAGTGCGACTGAATTGATATATTTATGAATAATAATTTATGCTGGAAACGTCATCAAGTAGATAATACTGTCTCACTGTGTGCTGCATATCAAATAAACAAATCTAATATGGAATTAAATTCTACCTCAGTTCCCGAGTTTTACACTTATATCTTCAGATTTATAGATTTTTATACGAAAATGTGTGTTTTCTGTGTTCTGTAGTGAAGTGAAGTTCTAAAATGAAAACTGAAATCATAAATCCTTTTTACTGCAATTTGAAACCCTGACTAACTCGCTGTGATCTACAAGCATCATTCATGCTAAATAACTGTACTTTACTTTCCACCTGAGAAGTGAAAGTACAGTACGGTATGAAATACGATTCAGTGACAGATGATATGGTAAAAACTACACAAATAAGTAAAAAGTTCGTACAGAACACTGACAATATGCGCATCTTCGCGGAAGCAAAACGCTACAACCTATGAAAAGCGCAATAACACCTAGGGATAACTTCTAGCGTCACCGCAGCTAATTGATGTACATGGATTTCAGATTAACCGGTCTGTTTTTTAATTGAACAGTTCTAAATGACCAAAACAAACGAAAAGGTGCTGAGCATCAACAACGGGTGCTTTTAAGGGCCACTCTAGCAACTATCGAAGTAACCAATTAGGTTTCTTCATTTTGGCTAGAAAGTCATAAAATAGAGTAGTCTGATGATTATTCCACTTAATGCTAGAGTAGCCTTTAAAGTCAAACTCAACAACTTGATGTGATTATCCTAATAGGATTGGATTTGGTTTATTCACTTAAACGATGTATCGGGAAGAGAACAAGTTCCTATTATACCACAGATTATTTTTATCTAACTCCCAACTTTGAGTTTTGTTTAATATAGTCACTTTAGGCAGACATGATAAGTGAAATGAAATGATGATTAACTCTTGTCCATCTGCATTTAACAAGCTTAATGTTATGACTGGAACTCCATTGTGGGCTGGGTGACTGGAATGATGATTTTAACTAGACTGGTGAAAACTCCATGGTCTAGATGAACGAAATCGAAAAACCGAATAACTGGAGAACTGATTGTTCACACTTAAGAAATAGAACTAGACAGGCAAAGGAACGAGTTCAAGACATTAAACTAGAAAAATGTGTGAGAATCTGCGTCATTGTGACAGATTTCCAGCTACTTCACCAACAGTCCTCAACTACTGAGTGCTTTCGTCTTGAGGACCCCGACTAGGCAGTCTAATTAGCTCCATACGACTCAGACCGAGAGTAAGAGACTCGATGAACTGATACCACGTGTTGATCTGACTATCCAGGACCCTCTTCTAACTTATCCAACTTCCCCTAGCATAGCATGCCGAGGTAAGCGGTGGTGGTTTGCGTGCGCAGCATATGTTCAAGCCTCCTCAGTCGATGAACGTTCACAACCTCATTAAGGGTCATATGGAGGTTAACATTCAGGTTTGCTCCCTCTGTCGATGACTAAGGATGTTGTTACACTTACCAAAAGGAGCTTAAATCTACAGAAGTGAAATTGTGACGGAAAAAGCAATCAAACTTTTGAACAACTTTACTTTTACTAGCTCTACGAATGTACTTTAGTAAGTGTCATCTTGAGAGTACTCCTGGTTACATGATCAACTCAGGATACTGATCTTAGTCTGGATGATGTTAACAAGCTTTCAATTACTAAGGTTTTACCAATCGAAGTGAATATGGGTTGAAATCAGATGTTATTGAAATGTACAGCTGAGAATGAGTTAGTACAAGTAAGAAGCAAACAGTGGCGCAACCTCCTTGTTTTTCCTCTTATGAAGACTCTATACTTTCAAAGAATTGTGTGACTGGTATGAAGCTATAGAGTTATTAGGACTGGAAGCAGGACGACTTTACAGTCTCTCCCGGCAGTTGAAATAAGTAGCCGTATACCATCATACCTACTTGGACATTTCTAACCCCAAGTCAGCTCATTTCAATGGCCCGAAAGTCGCTGCCCTTAAGTAATGGTCGGGCTTGTGTATCACGGTGACCCAGTGAGCTGTGCTGGTGGAACGCTTGTTACCTTGAGGTCCTACCATACCAGAAATGTCTGTTGGATTGTATTTAGAAGAAACAGTTACCCTTACTCTTAACATGTTCTTAAACAAAGAAATTATGCATTACGATCGCTTAGATCAGTCATCGGTGGTGATCCAAAACCACTGGGCATATGTCCGACTATGTCTTCCATAATACAGGCAAATTTCCGTGGCACCAAAAAGGCCGTACGTGACCGGCCTCAGAAAGATGTCCCTTGAACTCTGCGGTTACACACTAACCCTTCTTTTTCAGGTGTCTCAACAAGACCCAGCCTTCCACGGTGTGGGCAGTCGGGAAGTGTCAACTGTCCTCACAAATCTTTCAGCAGTCGAGTTCCCTCAGGTTAATATCCACCTTTATCATCCTTACCTTCCAATCTTCCCTAACGTCTCTCAACTAAGAGTCCTACATCATCTTTAATTTCTTTTAACTCTGCAGCTTTCGACACCGATCTGAGTCCACAGAACAGCATCCTTGGTCTCCTTAAGCCATGGTCCAAATTATATATCTGAGCCTTCAATGTCCGCGCCCTCCGTCAAATTGGCCAACAAGCTTCACTGGCCAAAACTCTAGTAACCTGGACCATAGATGTGTGCTATGTTTTTGAGACTCACAAACAAGACCCAAGTGCAGTTATTCACTTAACTTCTCCGGCCGAAATGGCGAATATGCGAGAATCACCCTTCTAATTTCTGGAGATTCAATGGCTGTAGGCATAGCATTGAGCACTAGGGCAGAAAGGTCACTACTAGACTGGATTCCAGTTGACAGTTGTCTGTGCGCTGTTCGGCTGAACGCCACAGTGATAACTTAACGGTGAAGCTTACCGTCCTCTCTTTTCAGTCTGTGCTTACACACCCACTGACTGCAGTTCAGATGAAGTAACGGGTGAGTTCTATCGAAAACTCTCCAGCCTCCTTTCGAAAGCCAAACGTTCATATATGGTTGTTGCTGCAGGTGATTTCAATGCATAAGTGGGTAGTCTGAGTCAGACGTGAGGGCACTTAGGTGGCACTTTTGGAATCCGGGCTGATCGAGTAGATAACGGTGATTTCCTACCAAAACTGTGCTCAGATAGTCGTTTATTTCTAGCTAGCACAAATTTCAGACCTAAAGATATTTTCTGGTGTGGCGTCCACAGAGGTCAACTCATCGATGGATACGAATAGACCACATTGCTATCAGTCACTGCTAGAGAGGGTCAGTGGGAGACTGCCTCTCCTTCTGGAGCACCCGCTTGGATATGGACCACGCGTCGGTTCGAGCGCGTGTACGTCTACGTCTCAATGGATGTGGGAAAACTCAAACAAAAAGACCACTACAAGTTCAGCTCAGCAAAGAGATCACTAAGGCCACTTTAAGTCAGAAACTGGCTATGCAGTTATCGGACCACTCACTCATCCAGAAGAAGCTTGGTGCCATCTCCAGTCTGCTGTAAAAACAGCATTGAAGGCAGCCGACTCTCAAACAGCTTTTAAAAAGGGCTAGTGAATATCAGCAGCTTTTTCTGAGTCAAAGGATGCGCGTGAAAGGATCTTTTCCGGCTCTGAGTACACTAAGGAACGGATGAAACTCAAATGTAGATTGAAAAAAGTCTACACAATGACCACGAATAGTGGTGGGCACCGAAGGCAAAAGAGATGGAAAAGGCAGCGGCGATAGATGATAGTAGAGAATTATTTAGACTTAATAAGGAACCTGGGGGAAAAGGTCAACGGTTACTGAGACTATGGCGGGGAAGGATGGGTGTGAGTTGTACTAGCACAGGAGACGACTGGAAGGACGGACAGAACACTTCGAGGAACAGTTCAACTGGCATCCAGCTATTATTGCGTTGTCAGCTATCTAATCGGGTCCTGAATGAAACATTGAGATAGGCCCTCCAAAACTTGCAAAAGTCGAGGAAGTGGTAGGTAACTTGAAACGAAGAAGGACAGCAGGACCAGATAGACTGCTTCGTGAGATATATAAGGATGGTGGTAGAGTGTTTTTAGTCAAGTTAACTGAAGTGTTGATTTGTTCATGGAAGTCAAATTCGATCCCCTCTGAATGGTCTCAATCAGTCCCAGTCTTCAAGGAAGGCCAGAGGTCCTCTTGTGATAGCCACAGAAGAATCAGTCTAAAGAGCATAGCGTCTAAGATTCTAGGTTCTATAATCATTAGTCCCCTGCGTGGAGCTCGGGAACAACAAATCCGAGAAAACCAAGTAGGCTTCAGACCTGGCCATGGGTTTGTCGACCAAATATTCACACTCCATAAGGTTCTGGAACACAGGGACCCTTACCTCCACCCAACAATAGCTCTGTTTCTCGATTTCATCGGTCGGGAAGTCTTTTGATAATGTTTCTCATTGAAAGGGGTACCGAGTAAGCACATCACCTTTTTGAAAGCTCCTTACTCAAACACTTACCTGTGGGCGTGTTAAAGCCTACAGTGAGACGTCAGTTGAGTTCTGTACTTCTAGTGGTGTCCATCAAAGATGTCTGTTCTCTCCATTCTTATTAAATTTTATCATGCACTTTCTTGTGGATGTCTCCTTCCCATCATCTGACTGCACAGGGATTGGCCTAATCAAAGGAGAATATTTGGTTGACCTAAAATGTGCAGATGACATAGTTCTGTTAGCAAAGATATTGACAAGATGTAGAGTCTTCTGGACACTTTGAGTGGGAATTTGAGAATGTTTCGGATGTGTTTCTCACTACCCAAATGTAAATTGTTGTTCCAAGACTGGTATTCAGTAATACCCCGGCTAACAGTAGAGAATGAAGTGGTTCGGCGCATTGAACACTTCACTTAGCTTGGAAGTCGGATCAACCCTGGTGGTTCAGTGGCAGACGATATTTTTGCATGAATACAAAAGGCTTGGTTGGCTTTTGCCAACACGTATGACACCACCGCGATATCCGAGTGTCTTTTAAGGGTCAAGTGTATGCGGTGCAGTCCGCTCAGTTCTACTCTGTGGTTGTGAAACATAGTCATTAAAAGACATGAGAACGCCTCAAGTATTTGACCACAGTTGCCTTCGTAACGTAGGCCCTGTTCTGGCGTCACGACGTGAGTAACGCAGAAGTCAGGTGTAGTGTTTTAGGAAGGAGGGGTAAGACAGTTGATGCAGTTGTGAACCTTCATCAACTCACAAAGCTGAGACATGCGTTACACATGAGTAGTCACCGTCTGTGTCGTCACACAATGTTGACTGAATTAGGTTCAGGGTGGAGAAAGGGTTGGGGTGGTCATACTGAAGCATGGCATCAATGTATGAAGTTGTCAAACGTTTGTTGAGCCATGTAGAACGATGCCGAGTAGACGGTTGGGGTCTGCTGAACAAGAGGAACCAGTGTTTGGAGAGTCTATATGATATGTCTGAGAACCGATGTCGGTGGCCGAGATTTATATATACATTATCCTCATCTTAACTGATACAGCTGATCTCAATATTTCCTCATTCTTCCTTCCTCTCTTTTACTACTACTTTTAATCTATTTTTCCTTCCTTCTTCGTCTTCCATTGTATTGCATTGTTACCGAATATGCTGATGTGAGATTTGGCAACTTGAACCGTTATGCAGTAATGTCTGGTCCTATGATGATAGTTAGTTCACTGACGAGAAATGATTCGAATGACTGATCTCCTACAGACACATATTTCCTAAGAACAATGCTGTTGGAATCAGTCTCACATGAGTGAAACATTCCTCTAGTGTTTGCACGACCTCACTTCAGTTAACCGACACTACTAACATCTTAAACCGATTCAAAAATTGTGAGAATGAGTAAGATTGGAAGACATTTTAATTTTAGGCAAGAATGAATTACATTTTAACAGAAGAGTAAATATAGAACCTTTACACCAACATATTACACCTATTTATTCATTCATTTAAACCAACAAAAGAAAAACGAGAAACACTTTTTTAAATTCTTTTGAATTCAGAGTTCAAGTACAACGTAAACAGCGTAAACTTCAAAAACAAATGCTGGGTTTCAGTGATGAACAGAATTTGTATGTACGCAAATATCATCGGCGAATCAATGAAGCGAAGAGCAAACTTTCTGTAATTGACAAAGAAGTAAGTGAGGTATTTTTAAAACAAATTTCTTTTTGAAATTTCGCTGCCAATTGTTATACAAGCAGTAGGTGAAGAAAAAGGAAGTTATAAAAGCTATATTACACAAGAATACAGCCTGATTGGTGTAAATTACAGTATCGAACCCGTCACCATATAGAGATTAACTTTTGCTTTATATTGTTATAGTCTCACATATTTTATGAATGTTATTCAGAAACTATTGACGCATTTCAACAGTATATTTAAGTTTCTAGGAATTTATCTTTAGCCTGTGTTACATACAAAACGATTCAGACTAGCCAGACACATTATCCCTCCAAGAATTTATTTACTGCAAGACTGAAGTGTGTAGACTTTCACATTTGGTATTTTGAGATACTGGAACTCAACAGCTGAAGATAATTGGCAGTGGAACTCACTGCTGCAGTCTTTGAGTAACCCTAACTGTTGACCAGACTCTTTCAGTCTTGAATAAATTCTTACTACATGCATGTTTATCCTTTGACCACTCTTTTCATTTCCTAACTTTATTCATTTCATTATTTTAGCTGTCTAGTCCTATGGCTAAGGGTTGATTAAAGTCTATCAACCAAGTCTGAAATGTAGCAACCAAACTAAGAAAAGTGACACAGTGAAGTATTGTATTTCTGTGTTAAATTAGTGCTGAACACCAACTGGTGACAACTATATGTATATAAACTAGTTCTACGTGGGAGTCAATTATAGCCTAAATACCTTAGTGGCAAAGTCTTTGACTTCACTACTGAGTGATGCAAGCTCGAATCACCACATCGACATCACTGATGTGTGTTAGCAAGCACCGAACCTATATCCGGCACCTACTATTGACTGACTCTTAGCACTGATCAACACCCATTGATTAGGTAGGTTTCTATATTGTGTTGGTTATGCTCTACTTTTACCATCTGCAGTGTTTTTCTCCAGTTGGATATGACTAATTTTACAAATTATTTTGACTGCAGCATACGTGATACATCTACGAGATATATACAGGATGATCAGCGTAGGAGGTATTTTGCAGTTTACTTATAGTTTAACTAGTTGACAGTTTAGCTAACAGTCTTCTATGCTTGCATGTGTATGTAGTGTGTAATGCTTTTGTTCAAGTGAAACACTGACAGTGGTAGTCTGGAGTGCCCTAAAACAGGCAATGTGAAACAAAAAAGATTATGGTTTTTTGCTAAAAATCCAAATGGATCTCCGCAGTCTTCATACCATATAAACAAGATTCAGCAGGATAAGTCGGACTCAAAATTTAACGACCTCTTTATTTCTCACAGAACTCCCCTGATTGCTTCACTGACAACCTAATGTAGTTTAGGCTCCTGCTGAAAACCAAAGGGCACCGAGTAGGTTTAGATGTACGGAGGTGAAATGCTGAAAGTTTCAGTCAAAAGTCTTGATCTGTAGTGTCCACGGAACTTTCAGTGAAGGCAGGTAATCGATGATACCTTTAGAAGACGGTTGAATTGTTTTATAACTTATCTGTGACGGAGTCATGTTGTGTTAATTTGCTCTAGATAAACTCCAAAAGTGTTTGTATAATCCTGTGAGAAACTCAGAGTGGGTTTTAAAATGCTTCCTAACTGGCAGTTGTAGGAAGTGCAGCAACTCGAACTCATGTACTTGTGTACGTGGTCCAACTCTGACTGTCTGTGTAAGTATATAGTGAGAAGTTTCACCACTTCATAATTTCAAGTCCTTAGAATTGGATTCTTGATACTTGATGATAACCAACATACAGTTACATATCAGTCATTCTCATGTTAGCGGGGAAAAATCCACAATGACTGGAATGCAAACAAGAAATATTTAAGATTTTAAGCTTATAACTTGAAAACCCTTGATTCTAATATTTTCAACGACCTAGGTTTTAGTTTCAAGTTCATGAAATCAAGACTATCTCAGGCAGACTAAAAGATAAAAATCGGTTTTGATGTTAAATGTCACAAGTTCTGCTCTACCTATGTCCACTGCTTGCTGGCACTCTTCAGTAAGCGTATCCGCACCCATAAGGATCTGATGCTACCTAGGTGATTCGAGCATGCATCACTGTATGCTGAAGTCAAAGACTTTAAGACTAAGGTAGTTAGGCGATGAATGACTCCGCCGTAAATAAGAATTATGTGCCTAAATTTGTCTCCAATGAGTGAACAATGTAGGTGTCTAGAACCTATTACACAGCACTAAATGAAGTTGGTGGCAATCAACTCCTGCGAAACATTTTTTCTTCATAAATCAACAACATGAATCAGAATTTACTTCAGTGAACGAATAAATGCCCGAAAAGCTATGAAGGAAGAGAGTGAGAATGCTGTAGCTTTATACCCTCCACATTGACATTTCTCTTAATAATAATAAAGTGGATGGCTTGATACTGCCGGAATTTTCAAATTTAATATTTATAATGGATGGTGGCTGGTAGTAGAATACAGGATGAGCATTTCGTCTTATTTAGAACTCGTTGGATAGATGTACCTGCCTTCCAATGAGTGGTATTTTCCCTCTGGATTACCGATCATCTGCAAACCTATTATTAGAAAACACTATCACCTGCAGAAAGTGTTAAAAGATATAAAATTCGTATTATCTTGGACGATTTACTCCTATATTCTAAGCGAGAAAAACGAAGAAGGGAAACAAGTACAACTAATCCCATAGGGCGACATCCAGGTACTCCCAGTTGATGAGTCAATATGGGTTAATGATATTCGAGCCATCAAACCAAAATGAATAGTTGGATTCATAGAACAAAAAAAGTGATTTTATGATTGAGACTTATAAATCCTCTCAGAGAATGTGAAGGTCTATCTGATGCAAGTAACCAGCTTCAAGAAACTTTTTCAGTGGTAATGTTGTGTAGAGAAATGAAGAAACCAAGTGATCAGAGGTAGGAAGTACAACTGAAAAAATGACCCGGAAAATCATAGAGAACCTCACGACCTACACTGTATCTTGAAGTGATAGCTCGGTCGTAGAACGACTGTCCCTAATTTGCTTATCAAGAAAATCTTTTGTTTGCTAGTTTGAGTGTATCAAGTTGTGCATCTTTTTGTTTCTTGTTAGAAGAAAGTGGAGTTGGGGCATGTTGATTACTTTGCTTGAAAGATGGTTTGCAGAATGCACGTTGGAAACTCTCACAGTTGATTCGCATTCTGCTTGGCACAAATAACACCAATGTATTTTGAAGTTAATGGGATATTTTACTTTCAAGTTAGTGTTCATAACAGCTGACATCAGTCGGAGAACCACGGAAAACCTAGGACCACTTCACAGCTGTTTCCTCCTAGTATGGGACTGCTCAGCAGTATACACCCATGACGCGAAGGGGGTCGAACCCAGGACCTTCAGGCTGTGCGGTGATAGCTTTACCTTTGAGCCACTGAGTCAAAGCTCAATGGTCCACATTTTTCTGCTTCTGTCACCATGCGCTACCATAGGAAGAAACAGTTGTCCAGTGCCTCTAGATTTGCGATGGTTCTCTAACTGATGTCAGTCGATCACGCATATCATCTTTTGTTTCGCTTCATCCACTAGATTTTTTTATTGCTATCGACGTCATTATTTCTATTCGCATGTATTAACATGTTTATTCGCCTATTCTCAAGCTAGAATGATGTTCGCAATTCATTTCGTTTTGTTTTAATTAATTAAACCCAAGAAAAATCGATTAAACGAAGAATGTAGAACTAATCAAGAAAAGGCAAATGGAATTCAGTTGAAAATGAAGTCAGAAAAGGAAATTCATGACAGTGAGAGATTACATGGTGCAGAAAAAATTGCCTGTAGGTGAAACAGAATAACGTGAAAAGTTTTATATACGTATCCATGCTTAACTCATTTGCAGCTTGACTTGTAGCCCGTATTAATGATGGATAGCAGCTAGAAGCGTAGTCCAGAACGTGTTTCGTCCTATTTGGATCTCATCAGGTGAATGTACCTACCTTCCAGTGAGTGATATTGTTTCCACTAAGTATCGAACCCTGGAATGGTTGCGTCAAAAGCCATAGTACGTCCAGGATTCCACTGTAATCTTTTATCCATCATCAATACCGAATTTTAAATGCCAGCATTATCGAAACAGAACTTAATGTAACTATAAACTGCTGAATTATTGACCCATTGGAATAAGTTTGTCATCCTTCATTAGATCTTTTGTGGGTTTGATGTAGAGGTGAAATGATACACTGTGATCCACTATAGATTGATAGACACTGGTTAAAAAATATTGACGGTCATTGGCTTGTCTAGTGAAACATGCGTTTATGGGAATATAGGACTTCAACTAACGTGTCAGTCAGTCAGTCAGTCAGTCAGTCAGTCAGTCAGTCAGTCAGTCAGTCAGTCAGTCAGTCAGTCAGTCAGTCAGTCAGTCACTGTCGACGTAAGACTTGATATTACTATATGAAGCTCCACATTGATACACTTCACACTAGTTTCTCTTCGAACCTTTCCATATTTGCCTAATTTAATACATTCGGAAGCTGAGACTATCTGGTATAGCTTTGTCTTTTCTCTCATGTTTTATAAATTCTTACATCTTGCCTATTCTCATCTAGTGCTCCCCATTATTCTTTCCTGGGTATCTGTATTGCGTACAACTTTGAGGATTGTCAGCAAAACTGGTGGTGTACGTCTAAACATTCTAATTAAAACTGTTGTGGACAGATATCTCAGCTCATGTGAACGTCTGGCAGGAGCTTTTTTTTATTAGATGACCTGGACACTCTTCACTCAAAGCTCTTTGCGTGTCGGTCATCACGCAAGACCAGGAGCAAGTACATAAGACTTTATGCAAGTATTACTAAATTTACAGTCTCAAAATCTCATAGTTGGCTCGTATTCAGTACGAGGAAGAAATTGTTAAAAGTGAACTAAGTAATCAACTTTGTTTCTGAAAGCAAACTAGCTGAAGATTACACAGCTTGTTGTTAGTTATGTGATATGAATCGAATTGCTAGTGTGAGTGTTTACATAAGTCGACTTTGCATTTTCAAGAAAGTTTTAAGATGGAGTATTCTTATCTTTTATGTACAATGTCCACTTATTTCATTCGCTACCGTATGCATATGCACTGTTTCTGTCCAACTGATGCCATTTGACATGCAGTAAATTCTGTAGAGTATTCCTGAAATAGCTTTCAGAATAAAGCCATTATTATTATTATTATGCAAGGTAATAAGACAAGAGATAGAGGAATAGTAAAAGGTGCAGCCCAAAGTTGTCGAAACTTATTAGTAGAGAAGAATAAGGGATAAAGTAAATACCGTTAGGATGAAGATAATGTGTGGAAGCATTTGAACCACTATGATGGACCCTGTGTAGTATTACCTAGAGTATTCAATAATCCATTTCATTTGTCACATGGACTGAAACCGAGAAAGTTAACTTCCTTTACATGGGATGGGACCAACAGTCACACACTTCCTAGATTGATGTAATGTTCTAGTTTGATCACATTAAAGCTTTCTTCAACAAAAATCTACTTCGGCTAACATTATGCTTCTGAATAAAAATACTGAGGAAAGAGAATGAATGGGAGGCAGTTACATTTAGTTCGGGTAGATGCAGAGAATGAATACAAAGTAATCTGTTTATCCGGTTAATCCACATGAGTAATGACTATGTTGCTGGAAATAAAGTTGCCTTTATTTTTTATTCATAAGCAATTCAGTGGGTTCAGTAATTAGTTAGGTTGATGGAATAATCATTATTACCATTCCAAGATGGTGTTTACTTCAGGAAAAAATAGAAAACACTGAGAGGCACCTAAGGCTGTACTTATAGACAGTGAGAGACCTATGAAGATTCTGCTATTCATCTATGATGCATACGTTTCTCTACATTGCTTCGATATGATTAGCATAAACGTCAATACTTGAGTCTTTAAAATGGCGCTTATGAACAAATACTTCTTAAAGGTGTCCAAATGTATCACAGCTTTTTTGATCTTTTTAAGTATCAGTTTACACAGCAGTACCATAATATTTTGAACTGTTTCTTCAAACCTATTTTGAACTCGCTTAAAATTTTCTTGCCTAATTGACCCATCAGAAAATCAGATAAATTCTTATTTGGCATAAATATCATGGTTATAATTGCGTTTTCCTACTGATGTTAGTAAAAGTTTAGCCACATTTTGAAACTACTTCAACTTGTTTAAAAGGCGAAATCTGTTAAAGCTTGATTGTTGAAGTCAAAAAGCATATCTGACCAGTCTCATATAGATGATCTATTGACTACCTATTTAGTTCCTAAACCACTCACTGAGACAATTGCGAAGTATTGTAGCGGTGTATATCTGGGTCTTTACGGAGAATCAAACAGAAAATGGGATCTTATTTCATCATTGCTTCGACTAGGTCAGTGGTTTTGCAATGTAACAGACAGCAAAATAAACACTTACCTAGTAAACAGGCACGAAAGGCTTTGATCGATTAATATCATACAAAATTATCTTTTAAGTTACTTTTATAAGCAGAGGTACAATGCATTTAGCAGACTACAGTAGTGATGAAAAGATTGTAGTTTTCACATGGTTATCCAACTCATGTCGATTTGTTTTGGAAATCTCCTTTTAAAAGTTCCATTTCTGTACCGGCATGACATTTTTGATCTGTAACTTATGAGTGAACGGAAACAGCCTAAGTGACTATCAGAAAATTGCAACAAAATTTGATCTTTGGACTGAGTTTAGCACATACTTGAAACAGTAAGATTACGCTACACTCCATTTCTTTTCTTTAAATAACTTTACAGTGATCGTGTATTACAGTGTTCAGTAAAATGGTTAGCAAACAGTAAATTTGAAGAGAGATACTGAAATGCTTTGATGCATAAGTCAATCTATGATTATGGGCATCATGTTTTCAGGATTTCAAACGAATTAGTAAGTTAATGCCTTCAAAGTGAAACCTAAATTTCCTGAGTTCGATCCCCAACTGAGTTATGGTTGCATACTCCTGAGGATCCCGTACTACAGTGAAACAGCTGCCAAGTGCTCTCAGGTTTTTAATGGTTAGTCCGTGATGAATATTGCCCTATATAATTGATAAGGATCAATATTCGTTACTGATATACAACAGTTTGATTAAGTGCAAAATTGATATCATGTGAATGTATCAAAAGTTTATTACGTGTGTAAAAATGAATTTTGCGATAGGTGAAATACCTATTTGATATTCAGTTGCAAGGTGACTTCATCTAGAGTATCACTTAGAAACAAGGATCACTGGCTGTGAACTTCAGAGTTTAGGGCCCTTCAAAACTGGACCATTAAGATCCTTTATAGGGGCTCCAGGTGTTTGACCATCGTTATCTTTGTAGTATAGGCTGTATTCCATGGTGTCATGACGTGAGTAACGCAGAAGTCAGGTGTAGTGTTTTAGGAAGGAGGGGTAAGACAGTTGATGCAGTTGTGAACCTTCATCAACTCACAAAGCTGAGACATGCGTTACACATGAGTAGTCACCGTCTGTGTCGTCACACAATGTTGACTGAATTAGGTTCAGGGTGGAGAAAGGGTTGGGGTGGTCATACTGAAGCATGGCATCAATGTATGAAGTTGTCAAACGTTTGTTTGAGCCATGTAGAACGATGCCGAGTAGACGGTTGGGGTCTGCTGAACAAGAGGAACCAGTGTTTGGAGAGTCTATATGATATGTCTGAGAACCGATGTCGGTGGCCGAGATTTATATATACATTATCCTCATCTTAACTGATACAGCTGATCTCAATATTTTCTCATTCTTCCTTCCTCTCTTTTCGTACTTTATATTTCTGTTGACTGAATTTTGTTTTCTTCATCTTCCACTTCACTGCCTTTTTACTGAATGTACTGATATGAGCTGTGGCAACTCGGACAGATACGCAGGAAGTTTTTTCCGCTAGTGCATTCAGTCAGCCTTATATCACTTTCATCTGAAGCGGACCCCAAAGGTACTATGAAGGCTGAGAGTGAGGCGTGGGCTAGCTAATTACCTATCTTATAGAGAATCAAACCACTACTAAAATTGCCATGAAGCTTTAAAAATCTACAGTGTAACCTTATGATAGTTAAATTTTCCTTTACTTGATATTTTCAGTTTGAATAAATGCAGCTGATATCTTGCTTTGCCTCCTTTCTCTTCTAAGCACCTTTCCCGTCTTCTCTCTTCTCACTTAGCACTTAGCAAAATGCTGGATGACTCAAATGAAGTGTGTCAACAGTGGAACAAGAAAATAAACGATGAACTTCCCAAACTGGAAGCATTAAACAATGAAGTGAAGAAAAATGAAGCTATTGAAAGTGAAACAAAGTCAGCTCAAGTTGGTAAGTTTTAAAAGAAAATAAGGCTAGTAGCGTGACTAGTATATCAGCGTCAAGGTAATCTGACGCAATGTATTGCACCTTATTCATAACTGGTCTATTTTGTGCATTTGGTTGAATATCAGTGTAAACTGCGATGATCCCTCCTTTGCGTCTACCTGTTTATATGCAAGTGATTTTCAGTACCTGTAGTGGGGTATGTTTTCTCAAGATTTCATTGGTGTTTTACTGCTTAGTGCTAGGAAGCCTGAAGTATAGGTTAAACAGTATTTTTTGATGACTGATACGACAACAAATTGATCTTCGTGGTTCAGAGATAACAGCCAGTAGAATACCAATTCAGTTGCTTATTAGTATTATTCATGTTAAATTTTCCACAACTTTTGATATATGTTACGGTCACAAGAAAAGGGAAGACCTCACTTATTCACACTTGTAGGTAACTGATGTAGCCATCTAGTCCTCAGCTTTCAGCACTGAGGAAGAAGTCTGCAATATGGCGACTAAGCTAATGGAGGTGATACAGTATTGCACTGAAATTCCAAAGATGATTATGTGTCATTCATCATTTCCAACCTGTAAGGTTAAGGTCAATTAGAACAACACCTAACTTAGGTGGAATATTCAGTTAGGACATTCACATCATTGATAAGTTTCGGCTGCTGCATAAAATTATGCTCTAAAAAAGAATAAATGAGATCCATACCGATAAGTCAGCTCACTAGTAGCTACCGTTACAAGTAAACTTGTTCAACCATAAAGTCCAAGGTTTTCATTTGTAATCTAACTGGAAATTGTAGCACTTCTTATTTGATGTTAACAGGAACCTTGTAATCGAAGGTGTTTGTAGGCTAAAGGATCTAATCGATCACAGTAGTACAAAGAAACTGGCCTTTCATATTTACGTAAACTATGAATATTGCATTGCCTCTCTGTTCACCTTTCAACGTTGTTGATATATTTCTGTCTTGATACTGGGTTCTGATCTAGGGTGAAATGAAAGTTTGGACAGAAGCTAGACTCAAACCAGTGAAAACCAGGTTTCAGTCACGCCGTAGTTCAAATGTCCATTTCAACTTAAATCATCAGCCAGTATCAGTACAAGTCTGTCAAACCACGGTTATCTCAGATAGCCAAAATTATATTTTTGTCTCTCATTTTAATCTCAGTTATCTCTTGCCTTATAACGATCATTATTTTGACACTATTGAACAATGGTTAGTATTTCGTCTTGTATGGTGCTCATCGGTTGAACATTCATGTTTCTTTCTAGTGGATGGAATGATTCCTAATGAAACGCAAACTTCGGTGTTGTAAGACATTAAGGGTCAAATCTTTTTCTTCAGTTAGACTGCAAACTAGTGTATAATACTTTCAGGATATTACAGAAACGTTTAGGCATTTTTTTTCTACGTAAAGAGTTGGCTACAGGTCAGCAATGACCAATAAGTGCTGTTCACACAAACTGACAGTGAAAGATTCAAATTGATAATAACAATCTTTATTAGCATTATTATGTTCCAGAGATTACCTCATCTTTATGTTGCAATTTTTGTGATAGAAATGAACCAAACCATTCGAACACTGGAGGCTGAAATACGTCGGGTGAATGAGGAGAATAAAAAGCTTGAATTCGATCTAGTCAGTTTACCTCCTTCAAAGCATTTTATTTTATATTTTACTCATTTATATATTAATTTGTTTTTTTTGACCAATCTGTTTACTCTGACCACCTTAGTGAGAAGCAAGAGAACTTGTCATCGTGACTGTGTTTACAATACTCAGGTATATATTTACTTGAGGATAAGGGAACTGCTACCAGCTGAAAGACTCCTAATCAGCTCGAAAGTAGTCGTCAACCGATGAACGCTGTGGACAAACAGGTAAATGTAAACAGTGCAGTGTTTGGTGAAACTATTTACCGGTTGTAGTTGCCAAACTTCTTATAAGCAATTTCATGAAGAAGTCAAAACTACGAAACATATTTGCAAATTCCATTTTAGTCTGTTTATTAGGAATGTCACACAGTGAAAGAGTATCGTTTACTGGATAACGTTTCGGGCACAATTTATTGTCCATATTCATTCATACCTGATATGAATATGGATAACAAATTGTGTCCAAAGGGTTATCCAGTAAATGATGCTGTTCCACTGTGTGACATTCCTAATAAACAGACTAAAATAGAATTACAATCGACCACAGTGCCCAAGTTTTACTCCTATATTAACATATTCATAAAGTGCGCCTTGACCTTTTTAAAAAGGGCTTTAGGAGGTATCATATCCGTGATGATACGATTCTCATTGTTAAGGGTGCATGCGCACCCCTGCGGTCAGTTTTATTTATGTGCCAGGTTCCATCCAGAAAGTCTACAATACTTCTGCATGGAGAATTTTAACAGTTTCAGAATTCATGGGTTGCTGTGCTGTTTCAGTCCAGTGAATCCTCGTTTGTTACCAAGCTGATTCTACCTCAACCAGTGGTGGATTGACTTGCCAAAGTTATATTGCACCTACCACCAACTGACAAAGCCCCTTTGGATAAGCATTTGTGCCCATCTGCTATCCTGCCAGAACAGTGACGGTCTAAGCACGTTAAAGAGGAGATAGATGGATAAATCAATGAAGCGGTTCGAACGGAAGAAGAACCGGATAGAAAATTGAGAACATACCGCGATTCAGTTATATCAACCGGCTTCGCACAAAAGCATAGCGAAGTAAGAAAAACGGCGCGAAGTGAAGTTAGAGTGTCATTAAACATTGTTACCGACATGCATATTATTAGAACGAAAGTTCTCATAAAACTTAGGAGGAGTAGGAATGGATGATTTTGTGGAACTTTAAAAAAAGTTGAAGAACAGAATAGCTTAATAATAATAATCATTAAAAAACAAAATATAATGAGAACTCAGCTGATTAGGACTGGAATTTATTGCCCAATGGAAATCAGTTGAATAGATGATGGGGTAAACCATTAAGTGATGTGCCGAAAACTTAGGTCAGCATTGAAGTCAGAGGCTAAAGATGAATCTTCTTTGAAGATTACAACTACTTTCAAGGGCTTAATGATAGAATAGAAGCACATTGTCCTGCTCTAACCTTTATACCTACTCTTTTCAAGTTTATGAGGCAGAAAGGTTTGTTTAATAATAAGGCGTTTCCCCCCAGGAGGTAAAAATTGTACTTTACACCTTCTTGTAGTGCGTTGATCATGGAATGTCAGTCAGTGTAATATTTCTACCTTTGCTACTTGATAATATCCTCCGGCATTCCGAAACGTATAGGATCACAGAGAATAAAGGAAGCTTTTAAAGAATTCAATCTAGGAAAAGAAACAGTTTTCCAGTCATCCTTGCTATTTGCAGGAGCTCTTGCTGATATCATGTTAACTACTAGTTTACAGTATGATTAATAAATTCAGTTTAACTATTAGTCGTGCTGCTAAAAATAACTGACCATATTTTGACTATCAGTCAAGCATAACAGAATTGAATTGGAGCATGTTTTTCAGAAATAGTAGGAGTTAAACAAAACCTGAATAATTACAAACCAATGTTTTTGGTTTTTATGTCGAGAACTTCAAATGTAATATCGAAGATTATTATTTATTAACACTAGTAATTTCTCATTGTTATTCTGCGTAGAATTGATCCACGTCTGTTGGCATAAGAACCTCTATGCGGATGCCTTGAAATTACCTGTAGTTTACTTGATGGTGACTAGTAATGGAAACCAAGAAGCGCGTTTCGTCCTATTTGCGACTCATTAGATGGACACATTTTCACCCTAGTGAGTGATATTGTTCTTGATAAGACTCACAATCAACACCTATTGCTTCAGACACGGAAAACGGGATCCACTAGGCCACCGGAGTACGACAGCCACTTCTTATGCAACAGGCATTCGTTATAACTATTTGTTAATATACTTGTAATTCTCAGTTGTTATACTGGGTCGAACTGGCATAAGGGCTCCCATACGGATGCGGATTATTAGTTCTGCAGAAACTGTTCTTCAAGCTCAATTTGTTGGTAACAGAACTTATATTGAAGGGCTGGTTGTTGTTTTCAGTTCAGCTTAAGAATTAACGAAGAAGAAGAATCGGAGTTTCTATCCAGATGAGCATGGAATTCTTTTAGTAAAGTGATATTTGGTCAAGTGATTTAGTGCGTTCCTTGACATGACCCGTTTTATAACTGATCAACTGATTATTTCAATCAGTTGATGTGCTGCAGTTGGTTAAGCGAATTTGTTCAAATTAAGTCCATTGAACGGTCTCGATATGGATGCTTGGTCAGTTAATTTAAACTGACTGGTGAGATATACTCAAAGTGTGCTGTTCATGGAATCTGAATTATTTAGTGCGTAGATCTGTTACACCATTCACCCCAATTCTTTTTCTTAGCTAAGATGAGACACACATTGTCAAAGGCGGTATGAATTACATCAAATAGTATTCTTTATCTTTACTAGTTGATTATTCTATTCATATCAATCAACAGCTAAAATAAGATTGTAACTTGTTATGCACAATGTACTGGGAACTCTGTGCTCTTCATCAACAGCTGACTGAAACTGAAAACATCCTTTTTTTGGCTTTACAGTCTGATCCCAGTATCTTAAAGAATAAAGCGGCTGCTATTGAGTCTAAATGGCCTGAACGTGCAAAATCCTTGCAATACAGATTAAAGTTATCTATAGAACCTTTGAAAATCGTCGAAAATTTCTATTTGGAACTCTTCAGAAGTGTGTAAACAGTCCTCCGAGGGATGAAGTTCATGATTATCAGGCCTGATAGATAGTTATATAATAGCCAATATTTTTTAATTTCTGTCGCTTCATGATACACCACGACAATTATTCAGCATCATAGGTGAGCGTCCGCCTCTCTCCCTGTTTGACTGACATCAAAGGTCACCACTTCTCACCAGAATATAAAGAAATCCATCATAAAGTCAGTTACCAAATGAGATATGGATAGTAATCCTGCTACTAGCAGGCGCAAATTTATTGGTTGGAAAGTGGTTTTCATCACAGACTGATGTCTACTACA